TCTTCCTCAATCAGCTTACGCACAGCATTAACGTTTTCTTGAGTGACTGCAGTTTTTGGACGACCTTGACGGGGATCATCACTGAGCTTGACACGTCCACGTTGAAATTCAGCAAACCAGCGATAAATTGTGGTTTTCGATGGGGCTTCATCACCAAATGCAGAAATCATCCGGTCAACACACTGTTTTTGTGTGAAACCACTTCGAAAGTCATAATAAATCATCGCTCTTGAATTTTCTCGAGTCAATTCCATTTTCTCAACGACTATTAAACAAGTTTGACAAAACCTTGTGACAAAATCGAGAATCTTTTTTTAAATAAATAAATGGTATTCGATTTTTTAAACCAAGGAGTTTTCAATTAAAAAGATTTTAATATGACAGGAACAGTGGAAATATTCCATTCCCGATACTTTTAGTGCAGCCTAGTATAATCTTTTTGTCATTTTATGTGATGTGTTTTATGAAAAAAGTGTAAAAAAAGGACCTAACATTTCTATTATCAACAACAATCGAATACATGAAAGCGTATATAAACTTATAATTTCATAACTTTATGATATGCGCATGTAGCGCAGAGGAACAAGCGTAGCATTATAATTAAAAGGTAGCTGATTCGAATTTGACCAGTTTTTCAAATTTTATAGACTTTTTTAAATTATTTATGATGCCCGAGAAAGCTAGAACTTTAAAAACCATAGAAAATAATGACAGTCACCCAAAAGTACAGATACTTGTTAAATCTATACACATTTTATAGTTTTATATTTGTTGGCAACATTTTAAAATTCATCGGCAGCATTCTCTGGTTGTTTTAACACAAACTAGAACTTTAAAAACAAGATTTAAAAAAAAAAGAATACTAGCAGTGTTATTAATATTACTCCCGTTAACCACCCCAACAAATCATCAAATTCTTGTAGTTGAGTGATCACTACTTTACAAAAGTAGTCGAATGGCGGATTCAAGTCCACAAATGAGTTTCGATGTCTATGTACTTAAGTACGAGTATATGGTGTTGCCGCTTTTAAAGATGCAATTTTTATAGCTCGTTTGGAGCCTTTAAAGTTATTAAATTCACAGATAGGTATTATTTTAATGTGCCCGTACTCACTAATGGTGCCGAAACGTGGACACTGACGATACGTCTGCTCCAAAAGCTTAACGTCGCTCAGCGAGCAATGGAAAGAGCTGTGCTCGGAGTTTCTCTGGTAGACAAAATTCGAAATGAAGAAATTCGCCGGAGAACCAAGTTTACTGACATAGCTTTCCGTGTTTCTAAGCTGAAGTGGCAATGGGCTGGTCATGTCTGTAGCAGAAGTGACAACCGGTGGAGTAGTCGTGTTATGGAGTGGAGACCGCGTCTAGGCAAACGTAGTGTGGGACGCCCCCTGACCAGATGGAGCGACGATCTGCGCAAAGTGGCTGGTAGAAACTGGATGCGTGTAGCCGAAGATCGGGCTAAGTGGCACTCCCTGGGAAAGGCCTATGTCCAGCAGTGGACTGCCAGGCTGATGATGATGATGATGATGTTAATGTGTGTGAATGGGTAATAAAGGTTAATAATCTACCTTATTATACTTTTTAAAATTGAATTTGAATATTTTCCTGTATGTGCTTTGTGTATGTTTGTTTATGACAGGCCACATAGAAAGTTTTGCAAAAAAAACTTTTTTACGAGACACTTTTATAATTAATTTTAAAAATGCGATTATTTATAAGTAAAAATACTAATGTTCCAATTTAAATACCCCTTAGTATTTTTAATATCTAAATCAAAATATCGTGTTTCGTTGAAAAATGTATCTGCGTTGTTTCTATGCACATCCATTTTTCTATGAATCGCTCCCTAAAACTGGATGAATCGTTTGATAGATCAAATGGTCTTTGTAGATAAAAAAGCTTTCTGAGCTCAGCTGAGCTGAGCTTTCTGAGAGAAGCTCACTGATGTAACTAGGGTTGACAGATGGTCGGGATTCCTTTGGATTTTTCCGACATTTTAAATGATCTCCAGACTCCCGACAAAACTCAAAATCTCCAGACAAACAGCTCCTCGGAAAGTAAACGTGTAGTCTTTGATTTAAGTACCTGGATGACCAAGCATTGCTCGGTTTTTTTTTTGGAAATCGTGTGTTTTGGAAATTATATTTAGATAAAAATTACATACTGATAAAATATGAAGAATATTTTTTGAACTTACCGACATAATAGAAAAAACTGAACTGGTTATTAGAATAAAAAATCGTGAGTGCAATTAAAATTTCATATTTTTAAAAAAATACTAAAAAAAGGCTCGATTAATAGATTTTCTCACAATATAAGGAACTTGAAAAATAAAAGGAAATAAGTCAAACTGAAGACAGGACGCGAACCAGGGCGCTACGTTTTCGCGATGGGTCGATATTCACTGGAGCTATTACGATCATTAATATAGTGTCAAAATTTACCTTCGTATATTCTTGCAGTTTTTTATTGCCTGAAAACACGGACAAAACGACATTTTCTAAAAGTGAATCCTAACTAGATCGATTTATTGTATATATATATATATACAAGAATTGCTCGTTTAAAAGTATAGGATAGGATAAAAACTGAGTTAGTAATTAGACTGAACTTTGAAATAAATTGTTTGAATTTCAAATATTTTATGAATACTACTAAAGCATCCAAGTTGGTGGTTGGTGGACTCTAATAAAGTCCAATACCAAATACATGTGGGAACCTAAAAATTAAGCGTAATTACATTCGTTTTGTTTATAGTATTTTTTGTAGTCTAAGAAATAAATTTTTATTTTTAATATTTATTTCTCCCGACAACAACCCCAAAAATCCCGACTTTTTCAGTTTGTCCAGATATTTTGGCCTTCCGATCTGGCAAACCTACATGTAACAAATGTCAGCATGGTCGACTAACTTTAAGAGATGAAGAAAAAATTCGCCCTTTGACGGCATGTCGGGGAAGGAAATGTGAATTTTTTTATTACAGAAAATAGTTTTTTTTTAAGAAAATAGGCGTATAAGAGATTTTGAATGAACACCTTAGCGTGAGGACGATATTTTCACGTTGGGTGCCACACAACCTCTCCGAAGCTTAGAACCAGGCCCTTGTACCAATATTCTAGGGGCTACGACGTGATTACTAAATTAAAAACAGGCTTGTCTCGGCGTGTTTACGACATTACTATAGGTGATGAATCTTGGATTCATCAATACGAACAGCAACGAAGCGCCAGTCGACGGTTTGGTTGTTTTAAAATAATCCAATGCCTACAAAAGAGAAACGATCGCGAAGAGCAGTGAAGGTTTTGATCGCTAGTTTTTTATTTTTTTATTTTTAAGTGGGTTCTGGTGGCGATTCCTTTACGAATTCGAAGTAAAATTAATGACAAGTTTTAATACTTAATTTGATATTAAAACTTACACTTACTACTTACAGCTTACACGCAACTAACGATCAAATATAGTGCTCCGCGGACTACTGCTTCACCATGGCAACGCGCCCGCAAATAACAATTCAATTAAAAGGATACAGTTTTTATCACCGGACGATGTGCTAGTAGCTTTCCAGTAGGCCCTAGAAAAGGTGTCAAAAGCAGACTGCAAAAAGTGTTTCGAAAATTGGTTTTACTGGAAACATTGTAAAGATGCTGATGGAGAGTTATTTAAAAATATTTAATAATAAAAACTTTAACTTGTTAGTTAGTTTAATGAGATCTTATATGCTTAACATGGTTTATAAGATCTCTGTAAACTAATAGTAACAACATACGTTCCTATGGTTATTTTTATCTTAGCTCATAATGACGTTATTACCCAACAATGGAAATTAATATATTAATAATGGTTATTATCTTCTAGCTCGTAATTATGATAATACACAATAATAGAAGTTAAGTAAGAAATGGAATTGAATTGCCGCCACTTTTCCTATCATACATATGATTCTAATCAATATCGTGCGCTGTGCACCACTGCGCACGTTCTCCATGTTGAAATAAGTACAGAGAAATTTAAATTTTAAGGACTTAGAAATAGAAAACAAAACAGAAATAATGCTTTATTTTCCTGAATGACAACTCTAAAAGAGAGTTGGTTATATACGCTGTGAATGTGAATCGTTTTGTGACGTAAAAAGTTAAAGCTTTTGTGTATTTATTCAATTATAGAACATTTATTGTTTAAAGTAACGTTTATTACAAATGGAGGTTTAGGTCCATATGTTATAAATTATTTTTATAGCTTATTAACTAATTTATGTAAGTAGAATCAGGTTCTAAATCGAACACGTGTGTAAATTAACAGCAAAATGTGTTGTCGTTTGATTTACAATTATATTTCTGTCAGTAATAGAAATTGACGCAAATTTTAGGGCTAGTTACTCTCATGAATATCTTGCAGTTGCCATTGTGTTCCCATGTGCTGTAGACCAAATTTACTAATTTTAAGACCGTTTTAATAATTTTATTATTTAACTTAATCATCTAAGCATTCTAACGCTGTTAAATTTATAAATAAGTCGAACATTTATAATAATCGACATATTTTTAATTTTCGTTTATACGAGTCTTTTATTAAAAAAAATATTATTTTACAATAGAAATAGGCGATAGCCCGATATAATTTAAAATATTTATATTATAAAGTATTAAGTATTATTTATTGGCATGAAAAAATCCGACAGCTTCTAAAAATTCGTTCCTAAGTGAATAAATGTATACGTTCGTCCTCTAAGAAGTAAATTTAATATTGAAAGATAGTGTGCGTTAGAAATAAATATAAAATTGGACCTGTTATACAATAATCCAATAAACTTCTAGGTCATCCCCAGCAGTACTTACCGCATATACCAGTTTTTCCCTCATCTTTTACAGACGCATTATAAGCGGTCGGTCCTACAATTTCTTTTCATGTATAAGTTATTATAAAAATGAAACTTATTTTGGGTGTAAGCGATACTCATAAATCCTCGGACTGACATTGTGATTAATAAATAAATACAGAGTGCTCGAAGTGTACATAAATTATCAAGTCATTAGTCGCTTCAAGAAAATATTTCGGTAAGTTTTAAAATATAGATAATGTTAGTATTTAATGCGACCCCAATTAATTCACAATACCTAAATGTCAATTCATTTCCGTAATCACATTAATGACTAGATATGTGTATTTACAGGCTATAATAATGTAGATTATTATTGTGTATAAATAAGAATATGTAATAACTAACATAATTTTTAATGAATAACCATGAACAGTTTAGATAAAATATACCTAAATTTTTAAAGAAATATCATTGATTCTTATGTTATATTAATATTTTATTTACATTAATATTTTTGACAGTTGTACGATAATACCAGTAATTTAATTAGTTTTTTATTAAGTCGTCTGTAGAGACATAGAATAGAATAGTTTTTATTTTTTTACTTATTGAAAACATTGATAACTTTATCACTTCTATATATAATTACATAACATTTAACCTACAATTGCAAGTTACCTTTACAAATGAGTTTCACGTTTAATTAAGCTAAACTGGATATAATGCCCAATAGAAGCCTTAAAACTTATTTCTAGGTGAACGGCATGGCGTGTACCGACTACATTGCAATACATATCCAGAATTAGTTCCTGCTTGCAGCTTTTTGACACATAATGCCAAGGTATTAATTATATGCTTCCGCATGTCATTTCATAAATGTAGATTCTTCATTCTCTCATTGCCACTTAATCATTTCATAACTACTTCAATCTTTTTTATCTTTCATACATTATACCGTATTTGTTACTCCCTATTTTTCTTTTGCAATCATTCTTTCTAATCATTAGCTAAGTATCATCATTAGGATCTAAAACCTGTTGAAAGACTCTAAATGCGGAAATATGTTTAACTTCTTTTCAACAAATTTTTAAGTTCATTTCTGTTGCTGGACTAAGAATGTGCCTTCTCGAATGCAATAGTTAAAGGATTTGTCATTACTAACCGCTCTGTGGATTCGGGTTGTTCAGTCCCCGAGACCCCGAGTCAATACCCTCGCACTTTAAATGCTTTCCATCACTACTCTGTGACATGTCACGCACAGTTTAATATACCTTCACCAAATTGTGGTCGTTTGTAACAAAAAAAAAAACAAGGAATTAAATAAAACAATTGTTAATTTTTGTTTTCAGTTTATTTTATTATAATAACGTGGTAAAATATTGTGTTATTTTACTGGTTGTTAGGTCTGCTTTTCTACCTAGGAATCAGCCTGTGTAGGTATTACCTTTCGACCCACCTCCGCAGTCACATAGCATTGCTTGCACTGTGGTGACCACATTGAATATTAATTTTTGGACAATCTACGCATTTTTTTTATAGAAGAGGGGGCAAACGAGCATGCGGCTCACCTGATGTTAAGTGACTACCGCCGCCCATGATCGACCGCATCACCAGGGGGATTGTAGGTGCGTTGCCGGCCATTTAGATGCATATTCAAAAACTAAAGGTAGCCGGGCTAACTATGACATTAGGACGTCAAACATCTCAGACCTCCCCTCCCCCTGGACCATGATTATAATTAAACCCGTAATTAAAAATTAAAAATAAGTTATTTAAAAACGATAAAATCTGTATACATAGTTTTATTCAATGGTAGTGTTCGCGTAAATTAAAAAAAAATCATTATATAAAAAAGTTATGTAATAAAATAATAAAATATATTTTAAATCCTTATCTAATGATAACTTTTTAATCATTCTAATAACATTCTACTGATAAGTATATAGCTTTTCTCTAGGGCGTTCGAAAAATTACTTCAATATGTGTGTTAGAGTTATCGTGGGCATAAATTCAGTAGTCGCCATACATACATAATTTGTAGATTGAGCGATGACGTGCGTTAACAAAACAGACCCACTATCCTGATTGATTGTGTCAATTTCAATATGTAGTGCATCTATTATAACTTATCACTATATGAATCTCTCTTTGGTCCAGTAGCTGTAAACGCGACTTCTGATCACGAGGTACCGGGTTTGAACCCCGGATCGCACCAAAAAAATCAGTTATTGAGGTTTCCGCCAAGAAATTCTCAGTCGCTGCGCGGAGGCAGGAAGCTGGCGGTGTCTCATTACCGTGCCTCGGAAAGCACGTAAAGCCGTTGGTCCTGCGCCTGATCTCATCTGCGTCCCATCGGATTATGAGAAAGAGGAAATAGAGTACACTTGTGCTTGCGCATACACTTGGGCACTATAATCCTATCCTGCGCCGATGGTTAGCCTCCGTTACGGCTAGCCGCCATGACCGAAATTCGGTATGGAGGAGATTATATGAATCCACACCCAACTTTATTTATAATTATTACCTTTATCTTTGTTTTAAATATTAAAACTTTTTCTCAAAATGCCAATTTCAACCCCGCTAACCGAACGCAGATCGAGGGACTAATAAATTCCAGAATAGAGGATCCATTCGAAAGTGCTCTGCTTCTTAGCATTTAAAATCGCAATTAAGTTTAATTATTTTAATTTCATTGGTGCATGTGGAAATCGATTCCAGGTTGCTTGTATTTGGACTGTGAAATATTCGGCGAGCCATTAGCCTCCGTGTAAGTATAGGCTCTTATATGTACTGTATTATACATACACTACTATTCTATGTACATTATTACTACATACATTATATATTATAATAGATGGCCACTTAAGCACCGATGTGTTTGCTTATATCCGTCATTCTGATTCTATTGCAGATATTTTTCTTACGAATTCTATTACACAGAAAACTCCGAATTTATAAGGTCGGGGAAAAAGTTTCTTCGTATTTTAAGACATATTTATTTCAAATGTTTAATTACATTTAATAATAATAATTAAACATTTGAAATAAATATATATAATAATAATATGTCAGTGTGTGTGTAGTGTGCCATTTTGTTCGACAACTTGTTGCCATCTTGTAGGTAGTGACATAATCCCGTTGCCGTAGAAATCTTGGGATTTTTGATCAAAAAAATGTGACAAGTAGTTTTATTTCTTTCTTGATTGATCTTGATTGACCGAAACGGGTGAAAATCAGAGGGTGCAAGGTCATTACTATATGGTGGATGCATTAACGCTTCCCAACCAAGCTCTCTCAATTTTTACTGTGGCCAAAGATGTGATTGGTCTGGCGTTATCTTGATAAAAGACCACTCCTTTTCTGTAGATCACTTCCAGTCGTCTTTTCTCAATTTTTTTTGAGAAAAAAACGGCTTGAGTCTCATTAGTTGTTGACCGCAGAGATCGGAATCGATGATTTTACCCGGCGGTAAAAGCTCATAATAAACGATATCCTTCCATCCAATCCCACCATACACACAGCATTTCTTTATTGCGTGGATATCCGGGTTTCGTTACAGTTTCTGGAGCTTGACTACCCTTTGACCATGATCTTTTTCGCACGTTCTTGTCCTTAGATGATCCATTTTTCATCTTTTCAAAAATGGTTAGTGAGCTCGTGTGGTACCCAAATATGGAGCTTTTTTTATATAGCACTTTCACTTTCAGACTTTTTCAAATAGGTTAAAACTGTTTTGTCGTCACTCCAAAATTCCTCGGCTATGTAGTAACTACTATTATGCCGATCTTGCTCCTTTTTTTTTCAAAAATGGCATCTACTTTATCCGTATGAGGATGACCAGAGCATCTTTGACTTCAACATTTTGAACCAACATTGTGCTTACTGACACTGCATTAGGTCCATAAACGTCACAAATTTTTTTCGCGGCTAAGTCGTATTGTCCCCTATTTTGTAACAAAACTTCAGTATGTATCGAATTTCTTCATTGTAGATTCATTCATTTTGGCGGAGAAAAGATCAATTGAAAAATGGCGGGAAGTGTTCTTTACTTTTATTTTTCTTTTTCATAATGTTATATACTACTAGTGCTGTTAAAGAATGGGAATTAAAATGGTGTCGTCTCTATTTGTCTCTCGCTCGCTCATTGTCGCTATAGATACTCACACCCGCCGGTATAGACTACTAACTTCAGTCCGACATGTAATTTATTAAAATAATTCATTTATTAATTTTAATTAATCTATTATAAAATTAATTAATTACTTAATTTTCAAGGATTACTATATTTAAAAAATAAATATCTATAGAGTTTCTTGCCTGTCTGTCCTATCTGAAATACATATTTGTTTTATTTTATAGTCTTCGTGAATAATTTACTAATCTATACTTGTAAATAATTCAATTTTATCCAAGAAAAGCCAGTGCGGGTCACTGGCTATAAATGTTAATTTATAATTAATGTGTCTACTTGTATATATAATTCTATTCAAATATTTTCCTATTAATAGTAAATTTCCAATATACGTAGTACGTACGTAGTATATTATTCGGTTAGTAACATATAATAACGATTTACCGTTATTAGCGGATTTTCGTTATTTGTATTGTGCATGTTGACGGTACGCGCTTGATGAGCTGCCATATAATATAATCCTATTCTTTATGCGTACGGGCTATGTGTATTGATATTAATACCAGCCAGATACAAACAGTACAACAAAAGAGATTTTTTTCAATTTTGTACAAACAAAATACGACGAAACTTTCCCCGACCTATTACATAGTCAGTCCCTTACAAAAGCTCACTGAGATATATTGAACTTATTTAGAAACAATAATTTTAAACAATCATTCTCGAACGGTCATGCATTGGTGTTTGCAGAGTTGATATTTATTGGATTAGGTATTTTTTCCAATGGATCTCGATCTGTGTTCGGTTAGCAGAGTTTAGAGAAAAAAGTTTATAAAGGTAATAATTATAAATAAAGTTGGTTGTGGAATTATATAGCGGTAAGATAAGATATTTGTAGCAGCTTAATGCTGATGCAATACGGATGCAGTATAGATCTCAATTTTAAATCAGTATATGGTACTCGTACCGCGGGTACGAGTTCGTATATGCTGAGTCGGAATCGTTTTGAATCACTCACAGAAACTAATTTTCTTGCTGAAATTTATTTTTATATATGTTTCCCTTCTTATACCTCGTATGTTTTTTATTTACTTCTAAATGTA